TCCTTTTTTCTGGCTTTCCCACCAATATTCTATACACATTTCTCTTCACCCATCCATGCTACATGCCCTGCCTATCTCATCCTCCTTGACTTGATCATTCTAATTATACTTTACGAAGCGTACACGTTATGAAGCTCCTTATTATGCAATTTTCTCCAACCTCCTGTCACTTCATCTCTCTTCGGCCAAAATACCCCGGTGTGTGTTCCTCCCTTAATGCCAGAGACCAAGTTTCACACGCATACAGAACCACAGGCAAAATTATATGTTTGTATATTCTAATTTTTATGTTTTTAGACAGCAAATGAGAAGACAAAAGCTTCTGGACTGAATGGTAGCAAGCATTACCCGAGTTCAATCTCCTCTTGTCCCTGTGCCCAAGTAATTAAACACTACGTCGTAAAGGCGTATGGGGGAGTGGATATATAGCTCCATCGTTCTTGATCTCGGCACTAGATGCAGGTGCGTGGTCAGTTTCAGCTTTACCTCCGGGGAAAGAACCCCCAATATCCGTTGGATAGAAGGCTGGGTGGAGTCCTGAGCCGATCTGGACTCTGTTGAGTAGAGAAAAATCTCTGTCCCCTGCTGAGAATCGAACTACGACCATCCAGTCCTTAGCATGTCGCTATACCGACTGACGTCTCGGCTCCCAGAATTTATTCGTAATGATTTTAAGCGAATGACGTAGTAGTATTGTTGAAACGTATATATGTAAATTAGTTTGCTAAACATAACGAAGGAGTTTCCGCTTCGAAAACGCTTCAGGCACTTATTCGGAAGGTGCTTGGTTCAAACCTCGGCCAAGACAGCCTAACATGACCAAGGTTCTTTGTTTTCCGCACCAATCAAAGAAAACGTTGGGATAGTACCTCCCTTCCAAATCCGTTCCAATTCTTAATATATCTGTCATTCTTCCATTCGACGGACCGCCTCTGTGGTCTAGTAGTCAGAGTTCTTGCCTACAGAACCAGAGGTCCGGGTTCGATTCTCGGCGCTACCAGTTTTTCTGAGAAGTATTGGGTCTGTAACGGGGTCCACTCAGCCGCGTGAGGATAACTGAGGAGCTACATGAATGGAAAAGTAGCGGCTCCTATCTAGAAAACCGAGATTAACGGCCGTGGGGGTCCGTTGTGCTGACCACGTGACACCCTCTATCCGCAAAAGTTGGAAGTAACTTCGCCGACAAGCGGCGGTCGCTCGGTCGGTATAATTCTCTTGTGAACAGTAGGCCATTCAACGCTATATGGTCTAGCTATTTGGGGCGTAAAGAAATAGCCCACTTGGAAAATCATAAATATATCGGTAGCCGCGCTGTCTGCATCATGCACAATGTTAGGAGCTTCAGAGATGTAATCAGGGTTCTGATATCGCTAAGGACACAAGCGAGAGCATGCGTAGCTCTATTTTGAACTATTGTTACAGTATCTACCGTATTACGAAAGGAGTACACATAGAAACTTTGTCAAAAAAACTTGTAGGATGTAGGGCAGGCTCTATCATTTGTTAGGTCTACGTATATCATATTCCTGCCTTCAGTAAAACCAGAAATATGCTTTCTTGAAAGTTTTTAATTGAGTGTAAAATTAATCTGTATTACCCACTTGTTGAAACTCGTCGTTATGAAAGCAAACATGCCATTATTTTATTTTGCAACACAGTTTTTTTTTTATCTTTTGTACACCATAATTGCTTGAAACCTCTGACTTTCTTGGCGTACATCAGAAATGAAAGGAGCGTATATCAGGGGAGGCGGGTTTAGAATATGCCGTAGACTGGTTCCGTTGTGTTTCGGTCACGATTTTATGTAAGCTCGACAGTTGATAGTTAAGTTGATACGGCTTAGTGTGAAATCCAATTAGCAACAAAAAAGCTTTTTTGGAAAGTTGAACAAGCTGCAGTTTTTACTATTATATTCATAAATCAAATGCTAGGACTATCACAGTTCGCTCACCTCTTTACATATGTCAGTTTAATTTAATTGAGAATTATCAACATTCATAACGGATTTAACAAAAGAAATGTGAAGGCAAATGGCAGATGTTCGCTAATAATGACTCATATTCGCCTTTTTTTTCGGTTCTTATAAGAATACTTCACCAAATCTCAAGGTGGATGAGAAGAGGGAACCATGTAACATAAATAGCATGTTTTGGGTAAAAAAGGTGAAGTTATCCGTTTCGCTTTCATTGTATGCATCCTGTTATGTGTCATTCAAGAAAAATGTAAAATGGAACACAGCACAACAAATATTGAAACTAAAACGAACCGGATACTACAGTAACAACTCTTTTTATTGGCGCAGATGTTAATGCTGCATGTTTCATTTTTCTTTAGGTCATCTTCAGGCATAAATGAAACAAGTAGTGATGAGATTTTGAATATGTTAACACATTAATATGGATCCATATTTACATTATTAATAGGTTTTATAATTCACAGTCCTTAATTAAAATAATACATGCACTTACGTCATTGATATTTATGTTATTATCTATGTTAATTTGAGAACTTAAGAATAAAATGAATATTACATATGTGTTTCTATGGTCTGCCAGTAGCGTATAGATTTGGGATTCTAATTGTACACTAATTGGCATTAAAATACTATATTGCTATTACAAATTGTCATATGATGTCTTTCGAGTCGATGATTGCTACTTAAAATTACACAAAATTTAAATTAAGATTGTACATATTAATTTATATTAAATTAGATTAATGGGTAGTGTTTAGACTTCCATGTGACCGCTCTTTAATTGTGGTTCTAGTAAATGTAATTGGGGTAACCCTCTATGCTGGGATCCTTCTTGAAATTATGACGTATTGCACTTATGGCATTAATAATGTGTACCGACTATGCTCGATTTTGAGCGTAGCATCCCGCCCTGGTAGATTTTTTCCTATCCTAGGGTTAGCTGTAACGATTTAAATGAGATAAAAATTAGAATGAAATATATCGAGTTCGTATGCAAATACATGTATGCTTAATTAAGCGCCACTCCATGAGGAAGTACACGGGAGTGGTGGTATAGTTCCATCATTCTTGATCTCGGCACTAGACACAGGCTAGCAGTCAGCTTCACGACCCGGCCGCTTTAGCTCCTGGAATAAAGCCCCCAGTACCCATTGGGACGGAGGCTGCGTGGGCCTCATGGTCGGTCCGGTCTGGACCCTGTGGAAAAGAGAAAAATGCATGTTCATGATAAGAAATGCAAATTTTAGTCGTAAAACCTGAAACATACCAAATAGTAGACCCAGGCTTAGATTAGAGGATAATATTAAAATATAACTTAAAGAAATAGGGTGTATGGACTGGATTATTCTGAGGAGGGGTCCTGTAGCAGGCTCTTGTGAACACGGTAATCTTCCTTCCTGTTCAAGAAAGGCAAGGGATTTCTCTGCTAGCGAACTGACTATAATTTAACAAGACAGAGTCGGTTGCCCAGTTATCTGCTTGTCTGTGTTGAAGAGTGCAAGTAAATAGATTTTCAGGTGAGACTTCCAGGCTGCCGTCGTAAGACGTTGAGGCTTGCAAGGGACACATTTTCTGTTGCTTCTCGACTTCGGTCTGTGTAAACCGCGAGATAGACCAAATTAACGGTAATATAGGCTTTCGTCTTACTTCCGTACCCTGTGCATTTAGCAGTCACATTACTCATAGTAGTTAGTCGGGATAGCTCAGTCAGTATAGCGACTAACCTACTGGCAGGGCCGCACCATAGATCAGTGGTTAGTCACTGGCTTCCCACCGCGGCGGCCCGGGTTTGATCCCGGGTCTGATCAAGTGGAATTTGTGGTGGACAAAGTGGCGGCAGGTTTTCTCCGAGTACTTCGGTTTCCCCTGTCAATCATCATTCCACCAGTTGCTCCACAGTCACCCTCACCTATCATCTGGGGCTGGTACAATAGGCCATAGGTGGGACTTAGTCCCACCCCACTAGCAATAAAAAAAAACACCTACCGGCTGGGCGGCTGAGAGGAGGCTTCCTTCCATTCCCGGCAGGGATGAGGGGTTTCTGTCTTCTTCATAACGTCCACACCGGCTGTCGGGCCCACCCAGCCTCATATACATAAAGCAACAAGGGAGTGAAGCTGACTACTCACCTCGATCTAGTGCCGAGGTTAAGAACATTGGAGCTATAGCTGCACTCCCCCATGCGTCTTCTTAGCGTCTTGCTTAATTAATTAAAAAGCCCAGTGATAATTTTGACTTCACTTTTACCATTACGAAAGATCGAAATATTCGCCGTGGCATTACCCAGTCACCCCAGATACGTTTTCTTCGTTCTGTTGTGTATCAGAAACGTAGAGTAAAGCTTGGGACCGTACAAGAATGTAAGGGCGCGTATTAAATCGTTGGAACTGGGAGGTAAAAGTCGTAATCGACTTTAATTTCTTCTGGAGAAATTTTGTCAACTGTGAAATATGTTACTGAGAACTATGTACTGCTGTCCGTTCTGCTTAAAGTAGACGTATATGTGCATGCTCTAGAACATACATAACTGCTTAACAAGACTGTTAAGCTGCATTTGTGCACTTGTGCTCCGCCATTGTACATTAAACTTAAATGTCCCCTGGAGAATGATACTGCATCTGTAGTCTGTAAACAGATGTAGTGTAATGCGTTATATTACTTTAGATATTGAAATGTTTCCTGTTTTAGTGAAAATAACAGTCTTAAAATTCCCATACTTGATGCAGTAACTGCATAACTAACTCCAATGAGCAGGTTCCTTCCTCAGAACTAATAGTCATTCAGCTTCTGAAGAAATTCTCTGTCCTTTTTGTAACTAAAAAGTTCATTATCATGTTCACAAGAGCCGCTTAGTCACACCATGAAATTAATAATTTTTCTCTTTTGACGGTTCGGCAACGAAACCGAAATTTGCTTAATCTCACCACCCGTTATAGGTATAGTTGCGTGATGTGCCGTATGCTGGGCCGGTGTGCGTCTAGCGGAATTGTCAGATCAGTTTTTCACTTGTATGTTTTTGTTACAGGTGAGTTTGCGTAGTCTGTGATAACCAGTCTCTCCGGCTTGGTGAGTAAATAAATTGTTGTTGTTTTTTGTTTGGTGTAGCTGTAACCGTGAAAGTTTTGTTTTTGTATAATCATTATAAATGTTATACTATATCCGTGTATGTATCGGTAATCGGCGATGTTTCAAATTATGTAGGCCCTTCTTGGAAGGTTTGTTATTATAATTCTAGTGTATTGTGACGTGTGTACCCATTGCTAAGCAACAGGTCCATAAACACATCCCCGGAACACACAGCACGCAACAATAGGAGCTGTATTCTCTGTGGACCCTGCGAAAGCGTGTTGCTAGGTAACAATAATACTCGACAAAAGAAGACGATGTTTTCCATGTTTTGCATGACCCCACGGAAAACACCTCCCTTTGTTGTGGATGTATGTTTACCGCTGCGTTGCCTGATAACAGGCACTCCATATTTCCATGCTTATTCTCGGCGCGGACCGCATAGAAAACAGTTTCCTTTCTATTGTTGCCTGGGAACACGATCGAACCTGTTACAATATTATAACAAGAAGTTCTGGGAAGAAATAATCGCCTGCTTTCCTTTGATATGACACGAACCGCATAGAAGACAGATTAGAGCGAGATACACAGACTCACCTGTACACACAGATACAAAGACAGCAAGTTGATCTCATAACGCTCCTTTTATTTTTTTATAATGAGAGGTAAAAGTTGTCCCTGTGCTTAATTAGTTAAGCACTATGCCATGAAGACGTGTGGGGGAGTGGAGGTGAGTGGTTAGCTTCACGACCCTGAAAATATGCTAAAAAATAAGGGAGGATACACAGAGAGCAAGGTAATCTCATAGACCTCCTTCTATTCTTTTAAAAATGAGGAAATTGGGATAAAATGGCTATCAAATAAATGTTTAGGTTATGAGGTTATGGACTTGATTTATCTGCCTCAGGTTATAGTCCTGTTGCGGACTCTTTGAACACGGAAGTCCATATAAGGCTGAAAATTTAATGTGGTTTTTAGTTCCTTACAAGTAAGAGAACTTATGTTATGCCTGTGTCTAATTTTCCCCACAGTTAAATGTGTGTGATGTGTGAGTACAGTTCTGTCTACCGTGCTGACACATCTAGTAAAGGTGTAGCAGAAATTTATGTTAAAGAATATTTCTGAAAGAGTTAGAAAATTTAACGAAAATTTCTTATCATTGAATTTCTACTTCATTATAATCAATTTTTGATATGATTTCAGAATTCTGGAACCGTCATCGGGATAGTAATTATGTGATCCATCTTAATATTTTTTATTTACTTACTTAATCCGTTCCTCTTGTACCTTACGTTGTCTAGGTTCGTTTTTTATTTAATTTTGATCATTTTACTTACGGTAGGACCCCTTGGACGAGTGATCAGCTCGTCGCAAGGCCTCTACGTAAACACAGGAAAACACAAACACAGAATAAACACATACACANCATACACACACCAAACATCCATGCCCTGAGTGGCATTCGAACCCACGATCCCGGTTTCCAAGCGAGCGAAGACAGTTCATGCCTTAGAGCGCTCGGCTACCGTGACCGTCCATCTTAAATTCCTATAGTGGGGGGTGGAGTCCAGTTGGGTCCACTCGGCACGTCGGCCACCGATTTGCCTATATTACCTGCCCCGGGTGATTATGTTGACGGAGAATTTGGTGGAATGAAGATTGACAGGGGAAACCGAAGTACTCGGGAGAAAACCTGCCCCACCGCCAATTTGTCCACCACAAATCCCACTTGACCAGACCCGGGCTCGAACCCGGGCCGCCGCGGTGGGAAGCCAGCGCGACTAACCGCTTGAGCTATGGTGCGGCCAGTGACTGTCCATCTTAATATTACTAGTTTAAAATAGCAAATGAACCCTTTATATTCGAGCAATGCCACGGGTCTTTCATATGGCTCTCCATTTACGGAACTAGATGACTAATGCACACTCATAAGGANTTCTCACGGTCTCTTCGCTTGCAGATTTCTTATATTTTTCCTTCTACCCTGAAGATGGAGGCGATACGTTCCTCCGAAACGTCGGTTAACACCACATATACACGGTGCCAAATCCCAGAAGACTGCTTTCTTCAAGTGTAGGTTTATTAATCAATGTTTTAAATATGGTTATGGTACTGCATTACCGGTACGGAATGACGTGCTGTATTTCACAACGTTTTTCAGTAATCGGAAACAGATCGACCAGTGGACAGATCCTAAGAAGAAAGCTCCTTAACTTAAAATAGGATATCATCGAATGCAAGTTTTAAATGAGCTCACTGAAATTTCAGAATTGTTATCCTTAATTTGTATTTACTGGCTCGCAAATCACTACCAGTCATTGTATACATGAATATTATACCTCCAGGTTCCATATACGCCGATCACAATGGCTCACCCGAACGCTGGGATCGTGGGTTCTGATCCAACTCAAGACATGGATGTCTGTGCGTTTATTCTGTGTTTGTTTTGTTCTTTGTGTTAGTAGCGGACTTGCGACGGGCTGATCCTCAGTTCAAGAAGTCCTATTGACTGCATTTAGGATTAAGAAACTGAAAATTCGGCCAAAGTCCAAAAAAGGACTGTAGAGTCATAGGTAGATATGTAGGTAGGTTCCATGTAGTCGTAAGTTTTTGGATTAAATTCGGTAACCTAAATCAATACCCAATATATTCTTACCACCAGATAAAATGTGTTATGACTGAGGAACAAGAATTCATTTCATGGAGTTACGTAATTCTATTAGGAAGGCATTAATTTGTTACTCGTAAAAATCAATAACTTTAAGCGATTATTTCTTGCTCTGATATCCGGATTCATGTTTCGATGAGTGCCCCCCCTCGATTTTTGTTTCCTTAGAATGGAAGATACAGATGACGAATCTGTGTTGGATTGTTGCGAGCAGGTTTAATGCAGAAAGATACGATATTACGTGATTCCGCAATACAGCATCGCCTTGCTGCTGTGTCTACGGTAGTTACACATGACCGTGCAACTTTATGGCTTCCACCTGTCAGCTTGTCTGCCGTGTCTAATGAATTGTTATTAGTGTAATACACACACACACACACAAGACTCGTTAAAGCGTGTATTGGCGTCATAGTTATGAAAACAGATATGAAACAAACTAAACTCTCCTATAAGTTTATAAACTAATAATTTTAGTATGTTTATAAAAACATTTCACGCTTCTGGCTTATAAGCTATTGTAGACATTAATGTAGTATTTTTCCGGATTCTGTATACTCGAAATTTTCGTAATTGAATTTGGTAGCTGTTACCGAAAATGTCCGCTTTGCTTTCCGAAAGAAAACAGACCCTTAGTGCAAAGAGTTTCGGTTTAATATATTAAACTTCCGAGCGAAGTAGCCAATTTTTGTGAAACCGACTGAAGGATGGCCTTATGCATTGGAGGTCAACCATATGTTTTGAAATTCCTGCCTTTAACGGTTCAAACTTAGCAGCTGTTGGGAGCACATTAGCGCTTTACAAATTAGGAGTCTAAGCGTTCGTAGAGATGATATTGAATTCTTAACAATAGCTAAGGTTTGTTAAGATTTCTAAAATAGGAAACTGAGTTGGCGAACGCGGCGTTGTGCTCATTTTGATAGCAGTAACTGTAATCACCCATGGAAAATTTGTTAGGTTTCGAGATTATGTTTGTTCCTGCACATTTTATATTTTATTTGATGTAAAAGAAAGCAGATTCGGAGATATGTCTATTTTAAAGTAACCTGGAACTTGAAATAGCTTTATCTGGTAGGATATAACGAGGAACATGTTGCTTCCGCCTTCAGGGTTGAAGAGTCAGCCAAACAAGAAACCAGTGTAGCAGGGTGCAATGAAATCCGGCTTCATCCTGTTTTCTTGCTTACGTTACTGTTAAGGTCCGAAGATGCAGGCGACAGGTTCCTCCGAAACCTAGATTGACTTTGAACGGAAGTACTCTGTGTTATAATCCCAGAAACTAGAACTCTTCATAACCATCACTGTGAGAACCTCAAATCCTCCATAAACTGTAATTAGGTTATGCCCTGCCCGAACTCCTTATACTACTGAATTAAGAATTTTGGATCTACATTTTGCATTGGCTATACTCAGGCTCCCTTCCAGCTTCGTTGTGGCAATCCTGTACTCGTTCGTACTTTATCCGTATGACTAGGTCTGCAAGTGCTTCCCTGTCCGGCTTTCGTTCTTACGAGTACAATAGACTACATAATTACATTTTCAATATTATTTTGAAGTAAACTGTACCGGGTTCTCTTTCCCCGGTGGTTAAGCGGCAGGGGCATGAAGCTGACTGCTCACCTCCAACTAATGCCGAGATCAAGAAAATGTAGATCTATACATCCACTCCCCAATACGTCTTCATGGCGTGTGTTTAATTATTTACGCAAACGGACAAATATCCCTTATCTTTACCTTTACATTAAAGTAAACACATGAACTACGTTGGCTTACACCTTTATGTCAGGAATGTGATTGCACAACCTGGTTAAAGTTTCCAGCATTCCACTTAAATGCTGCAGTTTCATTTCAAACGGACGCTTTTCCTATTTTCGGCGTAGAGTTAAAAATCGCTCAGATCATCAACATGGGTTTCATTATAACCCTACTCTACAGAAGGATCAACAGTAACTGAATATGACATCGTAACCTATTCAATTCCATTCAGTGCAAGTATGGCAGTAGGGCCGCGCCATAGCTCAAGCACCTGGGTTCGATCCCGGGTCTGGTCAAGTAGAATTTGTGGTGGACAAAGTGGCGCTGGGGCGGGTTTTCTCCCCAAGTACTTCGGTTTCCCCTGCCAATGTTCATTCCACCAATTGCTCCACAATCACCCTCACCTATCATCTGGGGCTGGTACAGTAGGCCAGAAGTGGCCGCAGTACAAGGGACTTAGTCCCACCCCACTAGCAATAAAAAAAGTATGGCAGTATCTGTTGTCAACTAAAGGTAAGGGATTGTAATTCCGTAAACCGGTTGCGGGGACGTGTGGATGTGCTGCTTCACTAATCGTACGTAGT